AGCTATATTGATATTTCAGAATCCCTCTCAATATGTATTCCTGGAAGCCATACCAATACATTAGAATTGCCAAACAAAGTGAAACATCTGCCCCCCGCGCTGAGCAAGCTTAGGGCATTATTGCTGTTGAGGAGATCCCACCAGGCCCAGATGAAGCTGCTGGAACCTAGAGCTCGTAGAAAGTCAGAGGTGGCCCTCCACGTCATGACTGGCCCAGAGAACAGAACCCTGGTGTCCTGGTTCAGCCCAACACCTAGTGGTTATGTATCAGTTATCAGCTCTGCAACCAGGTCCAAAGGCCAGATGGTTGTTGGACACCACCCCACCTCCCAGCACTCACAGAATTGTTGGGGAGACACAGTATCCCTGGGGGGAAGAGAGCATCAGTGCAAAGCAGGGAATGCACAGTGAATGGGCCACAAGGTCAATGCTCTCTGTTGGCTGGGACAGACGCTCAGCTGGGCGTGAGTGTCTATTTCTCAGGAGTCCTCTGTACCCAGCATCCTGATTGGCAACCCCGGTTCCCCATTACAGTTATCTGAGCACATGTGACCCCAGCGCCCAGCACAGTCAGGCCAGTCCTGCAGTGCTCCAGCTGACACCTGGGAAGGCCTCTTCCATGAGACAGGCCTACAGTGCCCAGTTGGGAAGGGAGGAGTGACAGGACCTCTGCAGCCCCCAGCCCCGCCATGTCTTCCCCCAGGCCCTGAGCTGCTGCGTGTGCAGAGAGCTCTGGCAGGCAGGAGGGATGGTAGCCCCAAGGCTGGTCCTTTGAGAAGCGAGCCCCAGGATCCTCACGCCTGCCCCAGGGCCCATCACCACACGCTCCCCAGGGCAGGGCCAGCCTGACCAACAGCAGTCACCAGCAGCCTCCATGGNACCACACGCTCCCCAGGGCAGGGCCAGCCTGACCAACAGCAGTCACCAGCAGCCTCCATGGTGTGTTTTTAGGGAGTGTCAAGCAGCTCCCACGCATCCACAAGCCTCTCCCAATGGAGCGTCAAATGCCATTCCCTCAGCCTCTCCTTTGGAGGGAACAAAGGCAGGTCTCTAGTAAATGTGAACATCAGGAGATAGGTAAGACCCCTAATTCCTGATTGATCTCCCAACAATAAGTTAGTTCCTAAAAGCACAGATTTCCCTTCCAGGGTCCCAGACAGTGCAAGTAATCCAGTACCCCAGAGTTTCCCTGCTTGGCAGCAAACTTCCTCAAGGCCCCAGGGTCCCTCCCGACCCTCTGCCATGCACTCCAGCTCACAGCCACCAGGGCTGACATTTGGGGCACCCCCATCCTGGGGCAACACGGAAGGCTGTGTCTGTAGGGCCTCTGCAGCCAGGGCCCACGGTCATGGATGAAGATGGAGCCTAGAGCTCATAGTACATTTTGCTAAAAACAGGAAACCAACAGGAAGCTGAGATGCGTTCACTGGTGAGGGTCCAGAGAAGAAGCCAGCACGAGGCTGCAGGAGGAAGCTGGGGAGGAAGTGTGGCGGGGCCTCCCCACCCAACACGGCAGCA